ACTGTCGGGCGGCCGCGGGGTGGGCGACGCTCAGCACCACGCTGGGCTGCTCCCGCATGATCCTGCGGGTCAACAGCCGTTGGGGGACACACGGTGGTGGCCCCAAGAGATGCCACCATAGAGCTCAACCCGGGATTCCTCTTTGGCGTCAACCCTTTGCCCCCCAAACCTCCGCCGCCGGTGCCGGGACTCACTCGTAGAAGTCCGACTTGGAGATCTTGAGGAAGGTGCAGTCGCGGTTGGCCTTGATGGTGAAGATGAGGGGCTCGCCGGTGAGCACGGCCAACTGCCCCACCATCTCGCCGGGCTGGGTCAAGAAGAGGCAGACGTCCTCCGCCTTGTCGATCATCCGCTGGTACACGTGCAGGCAGCCCCACAGCACGAAGTGGAGGCTCACGTCCTGCCAAAATGCCACCCGGTCACCCCTGGGGGGCACCTGGGAGCCCCCCGGCATGAGGGGTCCCACCAGCATCCCTTGGGGTTTCTTTCAGTCCTCTTCACAGGGTGTTTTTCACCCTCCAGGTGGCTCCTGGAATCATTCCTGCCCCCCCACCCATCGGGCAGGAGGAGGAGCACCCCATGGAAATACGGGGTTGGGGGAGGAAGATGCCACACCAGCTCCCCGAAACCCAGACCCACCTGGTCCCCTTGACGGGCAATGACCGTCCCGGCTTTGGCGTGATGGAGCAAGACACGGTTGTTGAGGAGAGAAGGGTCCTAGAGGGAAGAACAGCATCGTGGGAGGGGATGGAGACCACCAGGAGGCCATAGGGACCACCGTGAAGCATTGGGGGCCACACGAGGAGATGGGGACCCATCCCAAAGAGAGAGGGGAGCACCACGAGGAGACAGGGGACCACTCTGAGGCAACAGGGATGACCACAAAGTGATGGAGACCACCACAAGGAGATGGTGGACCATCCCAAAGAGATGGGGGACCACCTGGAGGCTATAGGGACCACCAAGAAGTGGTGGGGATCCACCACAAAGTGATGGGGACCACCTCAAGACCACAAGGACCCACCACGAGGCAACGGGGACCCACCACGACATGACAAGGACCACCACAAAGCCACGGGGGACCACCACAACGCAACTGAAGACCACCCCAACGCCAGGATGCCCCCACGCCGGCACCGTTGGCGGCCTCACCTCCACCTTCATGAGCTTGACCAGCTCCCGCTTGGCGGCCTCGAAGATGGCGCTGGTCTGGCGGCCCTGGTAGGGTCCGAAGGGACAGTCCCCGGTTACCGAATCGTCTTCGCAATAGTTGTAGTGGTAGATGCCAGACGGTTGCTCCTCCACCGTCACCGACTTGCGCTCCTTGGGCTCGTGTGAGACGGACTGCAGGGAGACGGGACAGCTCCGTCGCTGTCCGTGGGCCACCCCGGTGGAGAGGATTTGGGCGGACACGGCGTTACCGGATCCGGCCTTACCCGGGAGAAGCCAGCCAAAGCGCCGGTGCTGTCCTCCTGCAGCGACACCGAGATGCGGCCGCGCTCGTAGGCCATGTCGAAGTCGGAGCGGGGACCCTTCTGGATGCCTGCGAGGAGCGAGGGAGGGGATGGGGGGGTCACTGGTGTCCGAGATGGGGATGCTGGGAAGGGGTGCATGAGCCGGGGGGTGAACAAGCATGGAGGGGGTGATGCATGAGCCGGGGGAGGGGGATTCAAGAGCTT